GCTGTTTCTGAGCTGCTGAGGCTGTTTATGAGCTGCTGAGGCTGTTTCTGAGCTGCTGAGGCTGTTTCTGAGCCGGTGGTTTTGCTCTGGGGGCTCCTCAGCCTGAGGGGGGGCTGGAACACTCTGCATGCCTCCATGCTGACGTGCTCAGTCTGTGACCTCAGCAGAGACCTAAAGCTGAGCCTCCAGCAGAAAGAAAATGTTTTTACTGGTGGATCTGAAAACGGCTGACTAACCCCCCAATCACATGGTTGATCTAAAGACCAGGAATGAGACCAACCTGCTCAGGAGGGAAACTGGTGATTCAGAACAGGTCAGAGACCAGAATGAGAGGCCTTTGGAGTCCGGGTCAGTTCCTTTTACTCTCACCAGCTCTGGTTCGTAGATGTGCAGAGTTGATGAACAGAGCAGCTGTCAAACAGAAGCCAGCTGCTGTAAAACTCTCAGCATCTGAAGCCTGTCCAGACTAACTGAGTTGGTCAGAGTGCTAGTTAGCTGGTGAGTGTTGGTTGACCAGATGAAGCACAGTGCAGTTTGTGGGTGGCTGTTCTCAGAGTGATCATTGTTATTTCAGACTGAATCACTAAGTGGACTGGCTGTGATGTGACATCTGTGCAGCAGCCCACATGGACCCGCAGCCAGAGGGTGTATTTACCTTTCCAACAGAGTTGAAAGATGTGCTCATTAATAACAGAGCAGTGTTTAGTCTGTGCCTGCTGTGGAGGACAGGGAGCCCTCCACCCGCCACCGTCAGAGGAGAAGCCCCCGGAAAGCTGCTCGTCTGAATTAGTCTAAAGGGATGCAGAGTTTCCGGTTGGGATGCTGTTGGTGGAGCTAGCATACGTGGCGCAGCTAAGAGGAGATCTGCAGGGTTAGCTTTCAGCAGCTGAAGCTTGCACTGGGATCCTTTTGGGTCAGGGAGCTGAATCCTAGAGCCGGGGACGCTGTGGGGAAAGCGATGTGGTTCAGAGCAGATTCTGCCGGCTGCAGGGGGGAGCCTCAGGGCTGGAATGGGTCGGGGTTAGGCCTGTGGAATAT